TCTTTATTGTGGAAGAAAAAATAACTTAGAATTTCAAGATTTGAGGTTCAAATTACTTCAAAACGACAATTACATAGCATGTCACGCTGAACTGACAGTAATTAGAATCTTAGAATATCACATTTCACAGTATTTCTTACTACAAATAACATCGTCTTATCGTTTCAACTATGACGTAAACAAAAAATCAAAGTATTACTTATCGTCGCTCAATTCTTATAGGTACTCCATAAATTGCATGAGTTAAATAAAGATACAGGAAACAGAGAACACAAGGAGGTGATTGGGTTCAGTAAAAACAAAATTGTCTACGTTTTAAAATATTGTTGGCCCTAAAAAGGGCCGGTTGAATGAACTCGAAATCGTAGGCGTTTTACTTCGAGCTGGTGTACTTGGTTACAGCTTTAGTGCCTTCAGACACTGCGTGTTTGGCCAATTCGCCAGGCAGCAAAAGTCTGACTGCAGTTTGGATTTCCCGAGAAGTGATGGTAGATCTTTTGTTGTAGTGAGCTAAACGGGAAGCTTCGGCAGCAATGCGTTCAAAAACGTCGTTGACAAAACTGTTCATGATGCTCATGGCCTTGCTCGAGATTCCAGTGTCAGGATGGACTTGCTTCAATACTTTGTAAATATAGATAGCGTAACTCTCCTTCCTCCTCCTCTTCTTTTTCTTATCAGTCTTGCTGATGTTCTTCTGAGCTTTACCAGCTTTCTTCACGGCTTTTCCGCTTGCTTTCGGTGGCATCTTCACAATTTACTCGTAGACTTGAAACGAATCCTCGCAGAGCGAAATGTGAAAACTGATGCGGTCACAAGGTTCAACGCGTTTATATATCGAAACACGCTGCCAGCAGCGCACCAATGACGCGCTAGCTTGCACGCCATTGGTGCGCTGCTGGCAGCGTGTTTCCCGTTTATATCGGGCAGCTCTGTGGTGACTTTATTATATCTCTCTTGGCTGTTTTCGTGTGTGTACCGATAACTTAACATTGCATAATAATGTCTGGCCGCGGCAAAGGTGGAAAAGCAAAAGGAAAGGCGAAGTCTCGCTCAAACCGTGCTGGTTTACAATTTCCTGTCGGTCGTATTCACCGGCTTCTTCGGAAAGGCAATTACGCTGAACGCGTCGGTGCAGGAGCTCCAGTGTATTTAGCTGCTGTGATGGAATATTTGGCTGCTGAAGTCTTGGAACTAGCGGGAAACGCTGCTCGCGATAACAAGAAGACTAGGATTATTCCTCGTCATCTCCAACTTGCAATCCGCAATGACGAGGAGTTGAACAAATTGCTGTCTGGTGTTACCATCGCTCAAGGTGGTGTATTGCCGAATATTCAAGCTGTTTTGTTGCCGAAGAAAACCGAGAAAAAAGCTTAACTAGTATGTGACTAGTTTCTTCTACAACCTACACGAATGGCCCTTTTCAGGGCCACAAAGAATTTTCAAACGAAGGAATTACCCTAACTAATTCATCAATCAACTTTCCTATCTTTTTTTTTAAAGAAAAGACATTACAATAATAGTAGAATATAAAAAAAAACCGTCCAACTATATGAAATTCACCAGCTAATTTATTTTCTGTCATTTGGACGAATTCAGAAAATACGTCTTCTAATAAACACAAGCCGTCAATGGCACTAAAAGTGAATAGATTAAAAAAAACCTCGTGAGTGATCCAGAGAAACTAAACATATGAAGAAAGAAATCGCTTGCACAATGAATATAAACCTTCCTGCATTCATTTAAAAGTAGTTTTGAAGGAACAGTTCTACAAATTCAAATGTATAGTAGAGTGTAGAGCAGGCATGGCCAAGTACACGTGCCCCACTCAGGGATCTCGTAATTTTCCGTGCATGGCTCGCTTCCCCTCTTTTTCGCCCGTATTTCGATCCCCACTACTATTCCCCTCATGCGTGCTCATGCGCGTTCGCGAAGCTCTCCGCAGCGCTACCGTGAAAATCACTGCATACCCCCACCAACTATTGGTCCCCACCATGGTCGCGTCGTCCCCACTTTCCGGCCGTGGGTAAAAATATCTCAACCCTGGCTGCCACTCTTTATAAGTATCTCCTCGGTGCTTATACGTATATTTTCAGCTCTCTTCGGCGTGTCCACTTCTTGAGGGGAGTAGTGTACAGTCCCTCGTAAACTACGTCTATTTCCCCTTAAATAATGGACATTGACACTAGGGTACGGTAGTGAGCCCTGTCCACTTTCGAACAAAAAAATGAGCAATCTCCCTTTTCATCTCTGATTCTAGACAGACCACGCTATGGACGGACAAATCCGCAAATCTTACATCAGGACCTTTACTTTCACTTTTCTTCACCACGCGCGCTGCGATCGAAATTCCGCAAATCTTACATCACTGCACTCTCTATGCCTTTAGGTCCATGGCATATTGCTGCCCATCTATGTATTAGTTATTTAAATCTAGGGAAAACCATAGGGAAAACGGGTCGTCATCTGGTCGTCATCTAAACTAACCTGAACCCTGGTGTCATGTCAACTGTCAACTGTTATATATTTTACGATAAAAAGATACTATCTTCTGCTGTCTTCCAGTAGAAGAACGTAACGTATGTCACGTAGTTTGCAAGAGTACTTGTCAATCATAATAAAGATATAATACTTCGTGCCTTTCGATATCTATTTAAAACGTGATTGTTGCAATATGTTAAATCAACAATACGCTGTCCATCCTGCTGTGGACTCACATATCAAGCCACTTTTAATGAGCCTTTCAAGGGCTAAAAAACTCGGTCAGTTGGAATACATATAGCGTATCTTAATTATAATTTAATTGTTATTACGGTTTATTTTTCATTTTCCTTTTGAAGATATTTCTTGTGGAACAATAGAGATAGATCCTATGACATCCAGTTGCGGCGATGTAAAAGCAGATCGTTTTAAATTGTCTGTTCCTTATTGTAAACAAAATTTGACATGGAACGTGTTCTTCGATTCCCAGTGTCCTGACATGGGACCTGACTTCATATTTAATGATAATAATTTCTTAAGTGACATGGACATAAACACCTTGTCTGCCAAAATACCCAGCCTCGCCGCGTGGAATCCGACCAATAAAGATGCACTGCTAAATGTTCTTATAGAGCTTCTGTCTTGCTACAAGAAATACCAGGTGTGCAATATATATTCTACTTGTAAATTATTTCAATCAAAGATCAAATTACAATAAACTAAAATTGCTGTATTCTTTTCATCAGATACAATTAATGCACAAAGAAGCTCGCTTAAGCGCTGAATATAATATGCTAATGGGCTCAATTGATGTCAAGCTAGAAGATGTTGAAGTGGTTTTATTACCATTCGGTTTTAAGCCAACAGAGGCTAGATTCGTGATAAGTTTATCAGTGAACGTTTCACAGTTACAAATGTACAATTTCGAAACGGAAATCGAGACGGCGATACTTCTTGTAACATTCTCTGGAGCAGATTGGAGTCGCATTGTGCCGCAACTTTATTTCTCAAAGTCCTTAGAAGAGATCCTCATCCAGAGAACAGGTCCACTAAATATGCCACCATTCCCAGCCGATCAGTATCTATTAAACTACGTGGAAGAGATAAAAAAGTACATAAGCGACAAGGTATGTATATAATTTTATGCAAATTTCTGAATAAAAATTGATCGAATGGTTCTTTATCTTAGGTAAACTGCGTGGTCCAAATGTACGACAAGAGAATAGAATATATAACAGCATTCACGTCCCTTAGACGTCTGTCTATTATAGAAGTTGATGTTATAAACTACAATTATGCAGTTTGTTTGATCGATCAAAATGATTTCCATTGTATAATACACATAAAGCTCCCATTAGAATTTCCTACAATACCACCCTTAGTTCGGCTAGAATCGCCATATCATATGATATCTCCAACTGATTCTTACTATGAAATAGTAGAAAACTATCCTTACAATGTGCATTGGTCACCAAGGAAAATGATTACACAATTAACGCAATTTATTTGTCGTTTTGCAATCAACAGGTTTAAATGCAATGTTACTAAACCTTGTTCAAAGAATAATTTGAAGTCTTAAATAAATCGTCCAGTTTAGTATTATCATTATACGTTTAATATAAATCCATTTCTTACAGAATGTAAAAGAAGTAAGTGAATTAAATGGTTGAAGTTAATTATCCATACATTTTTACCGATCGAAGGTTGTACAATAGAATCTGTGATGTCTTACACTTACTTTTTTTTACATCTTGTACGTATTTATATAAAGTTATCATTTTTTAAGAAACTTTTCTGTATGAAGATGTACAGTAATTGTATGTGCAGATATATTATTGATAAAGTACATTGATATATATATATTTATTATAATTTTAGCCTTCTTGGCTAAGGAATAGGACTTTGTTACGAAAGCACAATAAATGAATATATATATGATTCTTATTCAAATACTGTTTTAAATGTATATATGTATATATATAGACACTGGAAGATGTGGTTTTATAGAAAAGTCTCGGTGAACTTTCGTTGAAACGTTGAGCATATCTTTCATTCAAATAATAATTTGTAATTTTAGCGCGCAATCAGTCGCGCCAGTTTGAAACAAAAGTCTTTTCTTTATTGAGCAATAAAGTAACGCAGAATTTCTTATTTCGAAGTCAAACCTCCACAGATATTCGC